CGGATTTTCCCGGACATGTCCGGGATTTTGGGATTTCCCCCCGGACGGGGATTTGGAGCCCAAAAAGCCGGACATGTCCGGGAAAATCCGGACGTATGGTAACCCTATGCACTGCCTCTGGATGAAGAGACAGCAAACTCGCTCCAGATAAAGGTATTGTAGTGCGGAAATACAAGATGATGATGGAGCGGTTATATTTTTGTAAATGATTTTATTAAATCCTTTTGTGTTTGCTTACTTAAAAAAATACTGCACACACACATACCCAATGTCCGACAAATAGCAAAACTTTTAAATTGTATCTTCTCAGTAAAAGGAGGTGCTGAACGTGTGCTGTAATGGTTGGAGTACAGGTCAAGAAGAGAGAAGACCTTTCATTTTATTTGTCAAGATTAATTTAGTTAATCATCAACAGTGGTTCACTAATCAGACCTTGCATGCTAATAATTAAATTTGGTCAGATCATAAACATTTATTGATACCTGATAAAAAGCAGGCTGGCTTTCATTTTCCAGATTATTTTGCATAGGAGAAACTGCTGTTCACTAATATAGAGTCCAGAAATAGATCTGTTTCTGTGAACGCAGCAATATTCACTAACAAAAATCACTTGGAATATAAAGCAGTAAACTCAATAGCAGAGAGTTTACAGGAAAAGGAAAAGAAACACTTGTAGGCCAGAATGACAGGCACCCCAATTTATATCAATTTTTAAAAGTTAAGATGACAATTAATACTGCTTAGCAGTGTTCCCTCTAATTTTTCCCACGCATGTGCGGAATGAATTTTCTATGTGCACCAATATGGAGGTGATGTGTAACGCCTTCATATTGGTGTACATAACAACATTTATGTGGCGGGGTGGGGCCAAGGGATTCAAAGTGTGGGAGGGGGCTCAGGGCTGGGGCAGAGGGTTGGAGTGTGGGGGGTGTGAGGACTCCAAGTTAGGGTGCAGGCTCTGGGGTGGGGCTCGAGATGAGGGGCTCAGGGCTGAGGCAGAGGGTTGGGGTGCAGGCTCTGGGTGGGGCTCAGGGCTGAGGCAGAGGGTTGGGGTGCGGGCTCTGGGGTGGGGCTCAGGGCTGAGGAAGAGGGTTGGGGTGTGTGGAGGAGTGAGGGCTCTGGCTGGTAGTGCAGGCTCTGGACTGGGTCATGGATGAGGGATTCAGGGGCTGGAGCAGGGAGTTGGGGGGGGGGGCAGGGATGAGGAGTTTGGAGTGAAGGAGGAGGGTCCGGGACTACAGCGGGGGAGAGAGAGGACTTTCCCCCCGTAGCAGCTCCGGGCTTGGGCTTATTGGGGCTGGGCGCTTCTCTGGGCCGCAGCACAAGTGAAGTGGAGCGACGGGCCGCGGGGCCCCGTTGAGCATGGGCCCGGCGCCGTGGCGCCATGATAAACCCAGCACTGTCTGGGCCGGGCTGGGACGGGGTGCCCCTGCAGGTCCAGGGCTGGGGGAGAAGCATCTCTCCCCACCGCAGCCGTGAGCGCCTGCGCAGCGCTTATTAGGCTGCTGCACGGCCACGCAGCTCTCAGCTTAGAGGGAACTTAGCTGCTTAGCCACATTTTGGGTAGCCTAGAAGTGAAAGAGGATGTTTACATTAAATATAAAAATGTCTCTACAGCTATACTTTTATTTTATGCACATTTTTAAACTTAAAATATAAGAAATATATGAGGTTTTTAAGGCCCAGCTTGACAAAGCCCTGGCTGGGATGATTTAGTTGGGGTTGGTCCTGCTTTGAGCAGAGGGTTGGACTAGATGACCTCCTGAGGTCTCTTCCAACCCTAATCTTCTATGATTTTATGATTCTATGGAAGAAACATTAATAAAAAACAAAAAGCTCACCAATGTATTTGATGAACCGTACTCCTCTGCAGATTTATCTGAAAACAAAACAGAACAGATACAATTGGAATTATTATAAATTACTTGGATTGCTGCCCAAGCGTGCCAGGCACTGCACAACCTCATAGTGACAGTCACTGCTCCTAAGAACTTTCAAGCTAAACAGAGGGTAGGGGAAAGGAAGTATTATCCCCATTTCACAGATTGTGAATCACGGCACAGAGTGATTAAGGGATTTAAGTGACTTGCCCTGCTTCACACAGCAAGTCTGTGGCAGAACCAGGGATTCAACCCAGATCTCCTGGGTCCCAGTCCAGTGCCTTAGCCACAAGACTCCAGACTGGCACACTGAGCCCCATTAATACAAATGGAAAACTCAGAAGTGCTCAAAGGTGTTTTTATTCAATCTCTGGCCTCTAAAGAATGCAAGGTTTGCAGATGATCAGGAACAGCTTAGCACTTAAAAAAATTTTTAAAGGGCAGAGTATTGTGAAGCAGGCTTAAAGTATGGTTCCAGATGTAGATATTCCATGTTTTTGTCCCACTACTAATGTGACACCTTTTGTTCAGAAAAGTCCAGAAATGCTTTCCAAGATATACACGTCACTTCACCCAGCACTGGAATGCAGCCATCTCAGATGCTGAGCCACCACCAGGGGTGTTTGGTGGGTAACAAGCCTGTGACCTTAGCTGGTAGCAACAGCAGGTTCTGATCCTCTATGTAAACCAGCCCCTACTGTAGGTGTAATACATGTAGCCAGGGCCTTATGCAGGCTTTTCTAGAAGGGTAAAAATGACAGTGAACAAAAGTCTGTGCAGAAGAAGTCAAGAAACCAAGGGACTGAGCACGGAGCACACTGACACCAGCAGGGGAAGCTATTACAAATTCCAAGACATTGCTTGCTTCTTTGACCAGTTTTGAAAAGAGGCCCCAGAACCACAACTTCCCCAGCCCCAACCTCACTGCCACAGAAATGCATTAATCATTTCAAATCCAATTAAGTTTAAGAGAACACGAGGCTATTTTTCAAGATTCCTGACTTTTTTTGGGTTGCTACCTATGAGTGATATATGGCTTGGAACTTGTCCAGGTTCCTCACATGCCAAGAAAAGTTTCTGGAGGAAATTAGGGGTGACAAAGGTTAGCGGGTTCACCTGTGAGATAAGGAAACAAGAAATCTAAAACTTGGCAACCATAATGGGGACAAATTCCCTGCTCCCTGGGGTAAAAAGGTGTAATCCCCTGGAGCTACGTCCTAGGGCCCTGAGCTTAAGACACCTTCATCATAGTGTACACAATGCATCCCTCTTAAATCCATCCTGAAACTAAAGCTGGTGCAGAATTTAGCTGCCCTCTTACTAAAGGAAGTCTCTGACTGGGAGCAGATCTGCCTGTTAGTTTCTAGGTGTTGGTTTTAGCCCATAAAGCACTATGTGTTTTGGGGCCTGCCCAGCTTACAGACTTCCTCATTCACAACTGCAGCACTTTGGCAAAAGGATTAGAGGAGACATTTAAGCTGGATTTCAAAGGAGAAAGGCTGCTGGCAGAGCAGAAGAAAATCACATTTCCTTTGTAAAAACAACTCTCAAGGTGTTTTGGCATTTGCTTGTTTATTTTAATTTTTAAAAGAAAAATCACAAGGACTTATCAAGGAGTCACACTCAATAATGCAGAATCGGAGATTTACCACATACCTGTGAAACTCATGTACTTCTGACTGTTGGAGGTCTTTTTGGAATTGTAGAATTCTAGCACGTCGAGCACGGCCTGGGGGTTTTTCTTCTGCTCCGATTTGGTGATGTTGGAGGTCTGCAATAACCGAGCCCACTGTTCTGGCATACCCTGTTTGAGAATTCCAAGCAGTTACCACCACACTCTCTTGGATGCAGTCTACACTCAGCCTAAGGTTGTTTAAAACGTTTAGTTCAGCCACTCAGTTTCTGGGATTTTTCATTGTATGCGAGAGGGCTCATTGGATTAACCCCTTCTCATCGCCCAGCAACCTAGGTTTGAAATCTAAGTCCAGATACTGCAATCCGATCCATGCAGGGAAATCCTCATGCTCATGTGGCATTTAATTGAAATCAGCGGGCTCTGAATAGCCCCGTAGCTCTGAATCCCAAAGTTCAGATCCAGCTCCCAAAGTTCAAAAGAGGAAGAGACAGACCCAGTGTTTTGGTTCAGTAAGTCTTCTATGCAAGATAAGAAATGTACTATTATGTGACTATCCACTTGTAAGAGGACTATCATGGTAATTTAGATTGTAAGCTCTTTTACCACATATCTGCGCAGCACCCAGCACAATCGGGGCTTTGATCCTGATTCAGGCCTCCTGGTGCTATTGTAATGCAGTATTTCGATAGGCACCAAATCATATTTTGGCCCAGTGCTGGATGTGACCATGTGGTAATTCTAACAGCATCGAACGGAGTGTCTCCCAAATATTAAAAACAGAATTTCAACAGAGAAACATGGCTTTAGCCACAAGTGAAATAAATTTGGCGACCACATTCGTCAAGCTCACAAAAGACACTGAATAATTTGGTATTATTGTTTTTCATACCAGTGTGTTAGGGACTTTACAGACTGGCCTCAAGATATGGCTCCTCCCGCCTCAACAGCTAGTCTACATTCAAGAATAGATTGGCGGATCTGCTAGTCAGATGTGACAAACTGTTGCATTTTGGTTAGCTCAGGAGAGCCCCAGAGGCAGCCATACGAACTACTACTGTAAGCAAGATTACAGCATAACCTGGCCTCCCAATATTCTGCACATCAAAAAACAGGATAATGCGAAATAGACGCCATTAGTCTTAGGAAAGCACATGTCGCATACTAGCATGAGTGTTTGTGGGGAGCTGACTGCTTCCTAAAGGAGAGGTCTGGAGCTCAGTGAGACATAACTGTCAGGGACAGATTAACCGTCTCTGTTGCCCTGACCCAGCAATGCGAAAAAAAAGCTGGTTCACTGTCCACTTCAACTAAGAACAGGTAGTAAAAAACTGGCCCACAGACCATCTTTCTGGAGTGTATCGGTGCCAGGTTTGACAACCAGGCAAAACGTCCAGTAACCAGGTTCCATCCTTAGAGGTTTTTAAGGCCCAGCTTGGCAATGCCATGGCTGGGATGATTTAGTTGGTATTGGTCCTGCTTTGAGCAGGGGGTTGGACTAGATGACCTCCTGAGGTCTCTTCCAACCCTAATATTCTATGATTCTACTCCTGAGGGAATTCTGTGCCAAAAAAAACAAAAAACAAAAAATTCTGCACACAACATTTTAAAATTCTGCAAATTTTATTTGTCCATAAATAAATGTGGAGGCTCCAGCATGGCAGTGGGGAACACAGGCCACTGGGCTGTACAGAGATGGGATATCACCCTGCAGCCCCTGCCCCAGGACAGGGACTCGGCAGTGAGGCTGCACCTAACCCTGACACAGCACAAGGGCCAGGCCTCCCCAGAAATACCCTGGGGCCCTGCCCCTCTGTGCCAGGCACACCAGGTGTGGGCAAGCAGGCTCAACCCAGCGGGATCCAAGTGTGGAGGGGCTCAGTGTGGGTTGAGAGGGTTCCATGTGGGGCAATCTGGGTGTGGGCAGCTCAGTGGGGATGTGGATGCACAAGGGCTCATTGGGGGTTCCAGGTGCTGGGGGAATGAGACTCTGCAGAGGGGTCCAGGTGAAGGTGGTTGGGGCTTGGCAGGGGTGGGGGGGGGGCAGGAGAGGCTCAGCAAAGTGGGGATGCTGCTGCTGAGGGGACACCGCATGCCGGGCTTCCACTTCCCACCCCCATTCCATCCCCCTTCCCCACTGCCCCTATCCCTCTCCCCTCAGTCCCACATTCCCCTCCCCCTGCCCTATTCCACCCACCTTCTTTCCACACTGCCCTGCCCCACTGAGGGCACTCACCCTTGTATAGAAAACAGGAAGGCTCCCAAGCACACAGAAGGAGAGCACAACCAGCACTAGGACCCAGGAGGCAGCGTCCAGCTGCAGAGTCAGCGGAAGGAGCTGAACCTTCCTTCAGCCAGGCAGGTCTGATAGGTCTGCTCTCGCAGAAATGGCCCCCCCCCCCCATGGGAGGCAGTGGCATCAGGAGCGGCGCCAGGGTTTTTGCCGCCCTAGGCGGCAGCGCTCCTCCTCAGAGCATTCGGCGGCGGGGGTCCTTCCGCTCAGCGTCTTAGGGGCGCTTCGGCGGCGGGTCCCGGAGCGAGTGAAAGACCCGCCGCTGAAGTGCCCCGAAGACACGGAGTGGAAGGACCCCCTGCCACCGAATTGCCGCCAAGGATGGCAACATGCCACCCCCCAAATCCTGCCGCCCTAGGCAACCGCCTAGGGTCGCCTAGTGGAAGTGCCGGCCCTGAGTGGCATGTGACCCCACATGCTCTCCCACGCCTTGCCTCCGTTGGAGGGCGGAGGCAATGCCTCCCCCAAACTCACTGCTCTGTACGCCAGAAACTACAGGGGTGCATGACTGCTCTTGAGGCTTCCCTTTGCTTCCCTGTCATTTTCTGCAGGGAAGCAAAGAAATCTGCAGAGGGACCTGAATTCTGCATCCGCACAGTGACACAGAATTCCCCCAGGAGTGCTCTACACATGAATTACACTGGGTGGGATTCTCTGGCCCGTGTTATGCTGGCAATCAGACGAGATGATCATAATGGTCCCTTCTGGCATTACTTTACGAAGGATGAATATGTCCCAGCACCACTAATGATAAACAACTGTGTAATCCTCCTTTCCCCCCAGAATCACTTACCGTGAATTCTCCTGTGACAGCATCAAATCCAACATGAATTGTGTGTTCAAAATCTGAAGGGAGGGAAATTTCTGGGCGTTCTTTCTCCTTCTTTTTATTGGCTGCATATGAGAGAGAGAGGGAGAGGAAAAAAACCATCAAGAACAAAGAATACTTCCATGGCAGTTCACAGTACATCCTCTGCAACCAAATCCACAACAAAAACATATGATCTGTGGCAATGTGAAAAAGATTCTGACTGCACACTGATAAAGATTTATGGTTATGGGACAACCATATTCTGATATTCTTGATATTTGCATTTTAGGCCACACAGAGCCCAGAGAGGGTGACGAGTCCACACACAAATGGGAGAGACTGTCCCACGTAGTTTATGTTTTCCAGCTGCTATCTTGTCAACTGCAAAACAAATGCTACTCAGCTATATAGACAGACATTGTTCCCCAAAGTATTCATATCACCAAAATGGAGGTTTTAAAAAACACCCACCTACCCTAAAAGCCACCATTTTAACCCATTATATTGCAAACATGTATTGCGTTTTCCAAGTTTAACCGGATAGTCTTATTTGAGTCCTGTGCTCATAAGACCAGATTCTGCGCTCAATTATATCCATAAAAATCCAGAGTAACATTATAGAGGTTAATGGTGTTACTCCAGATTTACCATGGACTGTGTAACAGAGCAGAATAAGGTACATAGCCTTAAAGGTTTGTCTAAAACAACAGTAAGTCCTTGGGGTTTTTTCAGTTTAAGTGGAGAGAGTGTTAAATAGTGACAGCTTTGGAAAAGAACGGAATGAGAGAAGGGCAGATGGAACACTGGAGGATCCCACACAGAGAGAGAAGCTAGGAGGAACCAGAAGCATCTTCTGGTTAGCAGATGTTGAGCATCTGCAGCATGCAGACCAACCAAAGAGGGGACTAGCGGCTGCAACTGGCAGGAATACAAAAGAAGCTGCAAGTTGCGGGCTGGGAGAAGGAAAGGGAGACAAAGGGATGCTGAGAAAACCAATAAATCAAGGCAGCTCAGGAACTCTAAGACAACTGAAATGGATGTGTGAACTACTAGAGCATTAAAGAATGTTAGAACATTTACTGTTCAGAATTCAAGGCACAGAACTTTTTGACTTCTATATTTGGATCTACTGAAGGTCAGGATATCCTGCTAAACACCTAAATTCTGCATCTGGAAGGATACAGCTTTTCACTACCCAACATCTCCAGCATCCATTTTCAAACAGCATAATGAGCAAGTCAAGCTTTGCTCCACTGATTGCAGCTACTGCTTTCAAATTCATATTAAATACAAAAATGCATATTCAAGAAGAAGCCTCAATAAACAGGGCTGTAGCTTGGATAAGCCTCAGTACACGGACTGGTAAACAATGTTTTCAATAATGAATTAAATAATTTAATTGCATCTACTGCATTAAAAATTCATAGCTCTCTCAATATCCAGCTCTCATGCAGAGATTAAATTGGAGATAAAGCCGCATTTGCTCATTATAGTAAAAATGATTATGCTTTGTATACATGTGGACGTGAATTGTAATCTTTCTTGGGACTCTCACGATTCTTTTGATGCCCACGTAACTGAAGTGAGTAACCATGTGATCTTATGGCTGTAACTCTGGTCTTTCCTCAAATCACCTGCTTCCTACTGCTTGTCAACCCCACCATTGACGTCACGTCACAAATTTGATTGTAAACTCTTTGGGGCAACCATCAAGGACCTCATTCTAATCTCATTTAATCTGTGCTATTCCTAACTGATGTGAGAAAGATTAGAATCAAGCCCCACATTTTTCTATTTGTCCAGTAGAGCCCCTTTGGAAATGGTAAAAATAAGAATAACTACTTCAAGACCTGATTTAAATAAACAGGCACTCAAATGCTTAAACAGGCTTTCTGATTCTAAGCACATATGAGCCTGATCAAATCGGAGAAACAGATCTCAAAGCATAAAGGCATTAAAATATTAACACTATAATTGCTTTTCATTGACGATACTGTATATCACAGAATGAGGTATAAGCTAAAAAGGATTAGATTTAAAGGCACTGCCAGCCTTGCTCTACACTTTAATCCCACTTTATAGTCTTTATGGATATTTTACCCTGGGCCTTGTAATGGCACATATGGGACAAGAGAAAACTCTTTAGGAGTTTCAGAAGAAAAACAGTCTTCCTAGAAACACCCATCTATTGTTGATTACTTTATTTCCATTAATGCCCCATTAAACCGTAAGGTTCTGAGGAATAAAAGTAAACTGAAATGTATGCTTGAAAAATTTCAGTGAGTGTCCATGATTGCATTCTCCCAGTGAATCTTTCATAAACTAGCAAGTTTTTTCGGTAATGTGCTAGACGCTGGGTATGAGTTCCTCAGATGAAGACAATAATTCTCTCTCAATACAAGGGGGACTTGCGAACTCAAAATCCTTGGTTGAGAATTCCAAGACAATAATAGTGTTTCCAGCTAACTAATGTCTCCCGAGAGATGCTGGGCACCCACAACTCTCACTGAAGACAATGAAGCTGTGGATCAGCACGTCTAGGCATGAGGCCACCTCACTGTTAAGTCTATATTCAAACACCAGAATTATGTCAGAAGCCGTAATACCCAGCAACGAGGCCAGAATTCCACAATGCTACCCGACTCCCACCATGGAAAAGCTAGCAACACAACACCACAGCTGCCAGGCATTCTAAGTTGGCGTTCCACCAGGGACAGCTCCAGATTCACCCAATAGAATCTCAAGTGATCTTACCACCTCTTCCTGAGCCACTTGGAAAAGTCACCTGAAACACTTCCCACCCCTCTAGCGTTTCAGTAGGTGGTGCTACTGTAGTCCTACAGCAGGCACAGCACTGCAAAGGAGAAACCATCACCAAGTCTTACATTCAGCTCATTGAATCAAGGAGGTTCTTTGCATAATTGTTTTATATGACTTGCTACCGAAGTATTTGCCAATATTGCTTTCTGCAATCCTCAATTTATAATAGTATTTAAAAAAAAATCAATCTAAAGTCCAATATTATCGGTCAGGCCTGCTCAGTGTGCCAGAGCTGTACAGTCTTTATGCAGTTCCATCACAGTAGAGATTATACCCGACCTGAATTAACCGTTCTTTTACTCCAGGCAACTCAGTAGCTGAACTGTAAGCCTTAATCAAGCTGGGTTCTTGTAGTAAATAAGTTCGTGCATTAGGAGATTCTCTAAGGCTGATCAGCCAATGGATTTTCTATTGACAATTCATCAGCACTTCATGTCAGGAGTGTGGTAGCCAGTCAGGGATTACTTGAATGAATTTACATATTGGTCTGTCCGTCGTCCTACCAGGAGCCAGGGTGGCAATCAGGCTAAAAGGCCTCAGAGAGGCAGCAGGAGAAGGCTGCCACTCTGGTTCGAGCAGGTGCATTGCAACAGAAGACTCTTCTGGCCTTGGCAATGATGCATTGGCCTGCTAAACCCAGGGTTGTGAGTTCAATCCTTGAGGGGGCCATTTAGGGATCGGGGCAAAAATCTGTCTGGGGATTGGTCCTGCTTTGAGCAGGGGGTTGGACTAGATGACCTCCTGAGGTCCCTTCCAACCCAAATAGTCTATGATTCTATGAGTGGCTACCATGTTGGAATGTCTACAAGAAGCCAACATCCACTGACTTCAATGGCGGTCTGTTCATTGCCTTCAAATTGAAGCTGGATCACACCCTCAATGCAAAGAGAACCCAGAGCTGCTGAAGCATCACATTATGGCACTCCTCCTCTTTAGCTCCCAGTTTTGGGGTGGGGGTGTGGGAGGGGAAGGAAACAATCATGTCAGTGTAGAAACAGACCTGGTAGCGTAACCCTTTTATGGAAAGTACGTAGATATTGGTCAGCAAACAAGGCTGCAATAGCCAATAGCAAGGGTACTCTCCCATCTGATAGAGACAAACACTACAGAGGACTGAGATCTGGAAAGCTCCTTTGGAACAAGTTACATAACCTCAAAAGGCTCCATTACCTTGTTGTCGCCTGTTGGTAGAAAAGAACTACGTATCTGGTGCTCAGATACCAAACACTGTACTTACCATTGTATACACAGAGGGAGAGAGAAACCTGGGCCAGTTTTAAAAAAAAATAAGTAGATGATATTTTATTAACGTTTGAGAGCATGACAGGTACAGGGGGGATAAGGAAGAGTTACAGACGTGTTAAGACATCCAAAGCTCATTTTCACCTAACTGCATGTGAACTGATTCACTTTTAATCAAGTGATTTGCATTCATGTTTAACAGCATCATGCATCCTTAACATACCTACAGCCTTACTGGAGATTGGCACTATAATAGATATGAAACTGTCTGTCTGCTTCCCAGAGCAGGTTAAATAGTATAAACAGCAATTAAGTTTCTCTTAGGCCACAGAACTAGGATTAGTCCTTTCCTTCTAGCAAGAATTTAGGAGACTGACTCCTTATTGAAACAGTTGAGAATGTAGATACAAAAATTAGAGAAAGATCTTATTTATTTAGCACCCAACTACCATGGCGATGGACACTATGAATCCTTAAAAAGAGACTGAAAAAGGGAGATAAATATATCACAGAGATGGGTTCCTTACAAACAGAGTAAATCGAGATATAAAAGGAAGTGGCACAGATTAAGGACTAGAGAATTTCTTGCATCATTGCAACTGATTCATGTGATAAATGTACAACCTTCAAAATATACTAATGGTAGAAATTAAAATTGCATGTACAGTGCATTAGTTCTGTCCCTTATTCCCATCTTGCCTGTTACATTTCTTATTATAGCTGAAAGAATTCATTCAATACAAGTTAATGTGCAAGAAGTTATAGAGACAGATTATTTTTAGCAGTGGACAATGTTGGATCCAAAATTCTGAAATAGAATAGGATGACAAAGATTCATCTTAGACATTAAGTTCTTCAGGGCTATGGACCACATAGCAACATGTGACAGGACTGGTAAGAAATGGTCTTTTAGACATACTTGCACTCTTCCAGCCTGCTTTCAGTTTCACCAACGCAGAAGGCCAGCAGGGCTCCTTCAGAAGGCCCATCTACAATGGTTGCAAAAACTAAGGCCAACCGCCCCCCCGCCCCCCCCCCAAACTCTCACTGAACTTTGGAAAGGCAGCTGTGACAGGCCCTGAGAACAGGGACATTACAGTGTCTATGTCCCTGAAAACTGGTAATCACAGATCTCACACACACACACACACACACACACACACACACACATTTTAACAATCAACAGATTATGAGAAGGAATGGGGAGTTTGTGAGGGGAATGGAATTAATTATTAGGAAAGCAGATACCCAGCTAGCCACCACAGGCAGCCCATATTCCCAGTATGGCCCAAAAAAATTATGTGAAGTATTAGACCTTGTGAACCATGCTCTAAATTCTAAAGAATCATTAACATCATTCCCCAGCAACATGCAAAGAAGAAACTATAGTGAAAATCAAAATACTGTACTTTTATCTCCTGGCAATATAGATCGGTAAAATCGGTCTCTTTTTTTCTTTTCTTCAGGGTTGGGGGGCAAAGGTTTTGAGCCATGGTTTAAAGTCCCAGTATCTTTGCTTCCAGATCCAATCATAGTGCTGGTATTTCTCATTGGAGGGGCTGGAGGCTTGTCTTCGGCTTCAACACCATTATTAGACATCTTCAGCAAAAGAAGCTGTTACTAGGACCAGGAAAAAGAAATAATCACTTTTGTGCATTTTTAATTACAGTTGCAAATTGCTCCTTCAAATAAATTGTGCATCAGCTTTGTCTTTTAGTTTATGTTAATTACCTGCAGATAACAAACTTGCATAAAAAATTTCTTCTGGGGGCCAACGCATGGTTCCACTGAAGTGGATGCCAAAATTCCCATTTATTCACTAGCAATCAGGATTTGGCCCTCGGAACACAACTTTTAATTATTTCCCATACAAAGACAAAGTTTAAAGGTTCTTTCAGAGTTACTGACCATCATGCCCAACCTTTTTAGGGGTATTTCATTTCATTGAGCTGGTAAAATAAAACTGGATCCTCCACATGTACACAGTAACTCTTCATGTAAATCATCCTTAAAGTGTAGATTTAAACAAAGAAGCTACTGTACTTGCAGAATAACCCATTAGCAGCACAATTAACTCAATCTTTATACAGCCCAACTGCACATAGAACTTGTTGAAAAATGCTGACATTTTTCATTAAAAATTCAAACAATTTCTGACCAACTCTAGCTGTAAAACAAACCAATCCTATTCCTCAGAATAAGCAAATGACTTTCCAAATTTCACAAACAATGGGAAAAAAACCACACCTCCTAATTTGAGTCCTTTTATTTGGTAGCAGGTTCTGTCACTAGGAAAAGCCCAGCTCCAAAAAGTGATAAAATAAAATCAGAGCAAAATTAATTTACAGCTTCCAAATCTCTGAGTTGCTCCGGCAGATGAAGAATCCATGCAGGGACACAGCTTTTGCGACCCAGACTGAGGCTACGGCTACATGACAGAGCTTACAGCGGCGCTGCTATTGGCACTGTTAGTGCAGACATTCAGGAGAGAGCTCGCCCGTGGGCTGAGTCACTCCAACCCCCCCGAGAGCAGCAGTAGCGATGTTGGCGGCGGGAGAAGCACTCCCACCGACATAGGCTGCCCACTCCAGCCCTTATGTAGGTGTAACTTGCATCGCTCTGGAGGGTGGTTTATTCACACCTCTGAGCGACATAAATTATGCCAGCATAAGCTATAGTGTAGACATAGCCTAAGAAGGCCCTATTCCAGCAGGGGGCTTTAAAGTATCAAAGCAGAACTTCATTGATTAGTCTGGCAGTCACAGCAGAACCTGAGGGACACTTTCAAGAGAGTCCCTAAAGTCCTAATTTCCGGAGATACCGTGCTTTCAGTATCTGCAAATCAGGTCCTAGACCTAAGTTTTCCAGAGTGACCACTGATTTTGAGTACCTCCTGCTGGACAGTTAAAATGGAGACACCCTGGCCACTGAATTCAATGAGACTTCTGGGTGCTGACTGCAGAACTGGAACCTAAGAAAGCCACACCACAGCAAAGGCAGGTTATTACACCCCACCTAACATATCTAACTTCGAAGTGGTGACTCCACACAAGCCTATCCGAAGTCAGTGCTCCTAGAAATGAAATTTGTTTAAAGAGTCTCATTTGGGACATTGATTTGAATGTCAGGGGGTAATTTTTGGCAGCCAGTTGGGGCTATTCAGCTTTCCACTTGCCTGGGAGTGTTCTGGCATCTACCTCCTGCCTCCTCCATTATTCAGGTCACTGGCCATCGGCCCCAGGCCATTCCCCAGTGTGAAAATGAGCAAGAGCAAAGACGAAGCTGACAGCTGGAGATGCAGAGACCAGGAGCTGCATAAGAAGTTTGGGAGATTTCTTTTGGTACAAACTAAAACGCACCAGTAACTTTGACAGCCATTGGTGGGTAAATATCCTGTTTGACATGAATACACCCGAGACCACGCTTATACTGAGCTGTCTTGCATACAGCAGCATCTCTGGTGCCTATACAATTAGCAACTCATCTGGATCCAACTGAAACAGAGAAAGGAACAAGCACAGGCTGCCAGGCAGAGTCACTAAAGAAGCCCTGTCTGTGTTCATGGCATTCACACACCTATGAGCAGGAGGAAGCAAAGTCAGACACTTTCGGCTACACTTCTCTAGTTACAAACTATAGAAATGATCCCTACTAGGAGGCTGCTAGACAAAGACAGCAGCAGGAAGAGAAATAGGGAAGTTAATGTCAATAGCTGCATACTTTGCCCAATGCCACTCCTCCGGAGCGATAGTCACTTTTGTCACTGCTGCCTCTTTCCCCACTCATCCCAGGTCAGGAAGTGTGTGTGGGGCGGGGGGGGGGATGATGATCAAGCCTTCTGGCTACTAGGAACTAGAACAGGGGTTGGCAACCTTTCAGAAGTGGTGTACCAAGTCTTCATGTATTTACTCTAATTTATGGTTTCGCATGCCGGTAATACATTTTAACGTTTTTAGAAGGTCTCTCTCTCTAAGTCTGTATTATATAACTAAACGATTGTTGTATGTAAAGTAAATAAGGTTTTTAAAATGTTTAAGAAGCTTCATTTAAAATTAAATGAAAATGCAGAGCTCATCAGTTTAGTGCAGTGGTTCTTAACCTGGGGTGCACGCACCCCCTCAGTGTGCGAGATGCCCTTTTTGGGGGTGCGGGACATGCCAGATTTTTTCAGAAGGTAAATCATCGAAAACACAAATAAAGCACAGGCACAGAAGTACAACTACTTGGTTTCATCAAACCTATGTATTTATTAACATTATACATTTTTTAACAATTACTGTAATATACAAAGTTTTTAAGTTTTTAAGCTAATTGTAGTGTAATTTTTGATAAGGGCTGCAGAGCGCTGGGACCAGGCCAGGAGCAGAGCCCTGGGTTGGCTGCCAGTACCCCAGGCTGGCAGGAGGGCTGAGCGGGGCCGGAGGCCCGGACCCCGGCTGGCAGGGGACGGGCGACTGGAACCCCAGACCAGCAGCGAGGTGCGCGGGGCCGGCGGCTGGTATCCAAGGCCCGCAGCAGGCTGAGAGGGGCCAATGGCTGGGACCTCAGCTGGCAAAGGGCCGGTGGCCGGAACCCCAGACCGGCAGCAGGCTGAGCCACTCAACCCGCTGCCAGTCTGGGGTTCCGGCCACTGGCCTTTGCCAGCCGGGGTCCTGGCCACCGGCCCCACTCAGCCTGCTGGAACTCCAGACCATCAGCGGGCTGAGCGGGGCCGGCGGACAGAACCCCAGACCGGTGGCAAGCTGAGCAGCTCAGCCCACCGCCGGTCTGGGGTTCCGTCCGCCGGCTCCTGGCCGCCGGCCCCGCTCAGCCGTTGCCGGCCGGGGGTTCTGTTCACTCAGGCTGGCAGCGGGCTGAGCGGGGCCGGTGCCCAGGACCCCGGCTGGCAGCAGCGTGCCAGTAAAAATCGGCTCGCATGCCACCTTTGGCACGTGTGCCACAGGTTGCCGACCCCTGAATTAGTACCTGGCCTGGTGAGCAGGCAGGCAAAAAAACCTACCTCCCCCCACTGACTCCCTCTCCCTTGCTGTGCCTTACTGCAGCACACTGCCAGAAAACAGTGAGACACCAGCTGACTGCCACGTTGGAAGGGACGCAGGACCAGCGGAGTGACCAAAAGAAATAGGGAAGGAAATTGAGGAGAGCTCTGGGGGGAGAGAACAGATCATTGGGGGGACAGGGCTGGTGGAAACAGTGAGGAGAAAGGACCATAGGGTGGCAAGAAGGGAGACAGCAGTGAAGAGAGGGAAAGGAAGGAGAGAACAATTTAGATAAAAATAGCAGAAGGGCTGGTGGCTAACGCCTCAGACCGGGAGACAAAACTCCTAGGTTTTATTTCCAGTTCTGCCACTCACCTGCTGTGAAACCCTGGCAAGGTCACTTCATCTACATGTGCTTCAGTTTCCTTCTCTATAAAATGGGGATAATACCCCCCTTCCTCACCGGCAGATGGAAGCACTTTATGATCCTCGAATGGAAGGGACTATAGAAATGGGGCAGGGATAGCTCAGTGGTTTGAGCATTGGCCTGCTAAACCCAGGGTTGTTAGTTCAATCCTTGAGGGGGCCACTTAGATATCTGGGGCAAAATCAGTACTTGGTCCTGCTAGTGAAGGCAGGGGGCTGGACTTGATAACCTGTCAAGGTCCCTTCCAGTTCTAGAAGATAGGATAGCTCCATTAATTTATTTTATAATGCCAGTTACAGCTATTTTATTAAATAAGGGGAAACTCAGGGGATCAGAAAATGCTCACTCACTTTACACGCACCCCCAAAAAGCTACACAGCTCAACAGTGGATACCAGTTCTTCACACCTATTTGAGAACTCAGATTTGCAGCTCTAACCTAGGTAACACACAGTGGATTCCTCCTCCCACTCAAGCCACCCAAACCCTTCCTCGAGATTGCCCCACACATCTAGGACCGTGGTATTAAAATCTACACTTTCCCCACCCCCCCAGCCAGCGCACAGAATGTGTATGGCCAGCCTTCTTCCTCCCCACAACACTGGGGGGGGGGGGGGCGGGAGAGGGTGAGGGGTAAGAGAACACTCCAAGCTACAGATTTATGGGGTTTGTTTCAGGATTGAAGGCCCCAGTCTCTTCCATGGCTTCTCCAGGAACTTCCTGGGAAAGCCCTGCAGGTTCCAGCAGCCCAGTCCTAGCAGTCATGCTCCACATGCATGCACCTGATGTGGTGTTTGCACAGAACTTTGGGACACCAGCCTCGGATGTTTACTTGCCTGAAACAGAAAGAAAACCCACACATTTTGAAGTCCAAAGATTAAAATACAGACCACTGTCAGTGGGACAGTGATTCTAAACGTACACTATTGTCAAAATCCCACTAAGATCAGGTTTTGCGAGATAGGTAGGAGCCTCGAGTGGAGCATTCAGAGTTGCATCTTCTTAGCATATGTGCACCGTGCCTCAGGTGGCAGGTGACCAGGATTCATCACCGAATTTGGTCTGCTGGTTGGAGCATTAACTACCCTGGCCCGGGCTGGGTACTGACAGGGAGTGCGATGTGAACGCTGATCCATGCCTGAGTTATTCTGAATGTACCAGAAGGTGGCATTCTCCCCATCAAAGTGCAGCATCCATGCAAATTAATTTCTTACC